ACCAAGCTAGACAATTAAATCATCACATTGCGCTAATTTCCAAGGGACATGAAATAAATGTGCCAGTTTATACACTTGGCCACATGAATGTAGAATGTCAATTTTGCAAATCGTTAAACTTTGCATGTGAAAAATCTAAAGATGGAAAATTTACATATTGTTGCCAAAAGGGCAAGCTTAAATTAAAACCAATAAATTGTCCTGATTTTATTAGAGAATTATACATGGGAAATAATTATGTATCAAAAAATTTTCTTAGTAATATTCGTTCATATAACAGCGCTTTAGCTATGGCTTCCATGGGTGCCCCGGGAAATAGAAATCCATTGGATGTTGTGAACAATGCTCCTTATTGTTTAAAAATTCATGGGCAATATCATCATTTGACCTCGACGGCAATGTGCCCAGCGGATGGGCAAGCTCCGCGATTTGCACAACTTTACTTTTTAGATACAGAAGAAGCTGTGAATCATAGAATGAATAACAAAGCTAATCAAGAATGTGATCCAGAAATAATGAAAGATTTGTCATGTTTTATGGTTCAATGTAATGAATTTGCAAAAACTTTTAAGATGATGCGTCAAGTTGAAAAAGATCTGAATCCAATAGGCAATAAAACAATAAATTTAATGTTGTCATTTAGAAAAGATCCTCAACATGATCAAAGAAGATACAATGCTCCACAAGCTAATAAAATAGCTGTGGTCTTTCAGAATGTAGATGGTAAACCTCCATTTGAAAGAGACATTAGGATTTATAATAAAAATTCGAACGATGTACAACAAATATCAATTTTGGACAAAAGATGTGATCCAATGTGTTATCCATTGTTATATCCATATGGTAACGATGGATGGCATTCAGAACTTAAATCAAATAATCCTAAATATCCAGGATTTAAGATAAGTCAAATGGATTATTATGCTCATCTGCTGGCACGAAGAGTCGAATTTAGCCAATTTAAAAGGGCAGGAAAATTGAGATGTCAATTTATACTTGATGCATATATGAAAACTGAAGTCAATAGACTTAATTATATTAAATTGAATCAACCTCAATTAAGAGCTGAACTTTATTCCGGATTAATGGATCATCTTGATAATCGAGCACAAAATGAAGGAATTACAGTTGGTATACCTGTAATATTACCATCTTCATTTATGGGCAGTCCAAGGAACATGCAAGAAAGATACCAAGATGCTATGTCTTTGGTCAGAAAGTTTGGTAAACCAGACATTTTTCTTACCATGACTTGCAATCCTCAATGTCCAGAAATTAAGAATAACCTTGATGGATGTCTAATAGAGTTTCGACCTGATTTAGTTGCTAAAACATTTAACTTGGATGTTAAAGAAGTTTTAAAGGATTTAATCCAAAATAAAATTTTTGGAAATATTATAGCTTATGCAGGCGTGATTGAGTTTCAAAAAAGAGGGCTTCCACATTTGCATTTACTTGCAATGTTAAGTGATGAAGATAAGCCACGACTTCAAGAAGTCATTGACATGATGGTATGGGCTGAAATCCCTAACGAAGAAAGATATCCAGAACTTAATAAAAAAGTTTTGAAACATATGATTCACGGTCCATGTGGAGATCCCTCAATGAGATATCCTTGCACTGGGGAAGATGGAAAATGTTTAAAAGGTTTTCCAAAAGAATTTTTTGAAGAAATTAATGCTAATGTGAATGGATATCCTATGTATCAACGTAGAAATTTTGAGAAAAAATATATCGTCAGAGGCAAAAAAATTGACAATCGATGGGTGGTCCCATATTCACCATATTTAATAATGAAATATAATCAACATATAAATTTGGAAATATGTTCATCAGTGAAGAGTGTAAAATATTTATACAAATATATTCATAAAGGATTTGACTGTGCTGCAATTGAAGTACAAGCACGAGATGGCACAAGATTCATTAGAATAAATGAAGTTAACTCATTCCTGAATGCAAGATATGTCAGTGCTCCAGAAGCAATGTGAAGACTGAACGGATATGATCTGTTCATGAAGTCTCACACAGTCATAAGACTGGCAGTTCATTCGCCAAATGGTTTATTTTCGAGCGGGAAATGAAGAGCAAGCTGCTCAAAGAGAGCTTAATCGAAATACTACGCTGACTGCATGGTTAAAATTAAATCAATCTGATGAAAATGCAGTGCAGTTTCTTTACACAGATATTCCTTATCATTATGTCTACGATAAAAAAGAAACTAAATGGAAGCCACGCAAAAAAGGTGGTGACAAGATAATTTCAAGACTCTATACAGTAAGCATAAAAGATATTGAGAGATTTTATCTACGTCTTCTTCTATTACATGTGGCTGGAGCTAAATGTTTTAAAGATTTGAAAACTGTTAATGGAGTTGTTTATGAGACATTTAAGGATGCAGCAATTGCAAAAAATTTGGTGGAAACTGATGATCTTTGGGGAAAAACGCTAGAGGAGGCAATAGAATCGAAAATGCCTGTACAACTTAGAGAATTATTTTCCTACATTTGTATATTTGGAACTCAAATAGATGTATTAGCTATTTGGAATAAATACAAAGATTTCTTGATTGAGGACTTTGTACATAAGAATGTTGTTAATCTTGAAAATATGGCTTTAAATCATATACAAGAAATTTTAATAAATAATGGAAGTAGCTGTGAGAATTTTCAATTACCAAATCCAACTCCAGTAAATATTTACATAACAGAGTATAATGTGGATGAAGAAAGAATACGTGGTGATTATTTATTATCGACATTAAATGCTGAGCAAAAGCACGTATACGATATTGTCATGCGAGCAATTGAAAATCAAAATGAACTTCATCGGTTATTTTTTATTGACGGATTTGCAGGAAGTGGTAAAACCTATTTATTTAACACATTTCTAAGTGTTATTTGAGGAAGAAACGAGATAGTTCTTCCATGTGCCTCGACTGGAATTGCAGCAACACTTCTAAAAGGAGGAAGAACTTATCACTCCCTATTCAAGCTTTCAATTCCAATTGATGATAGTGTTAAATCCAATATCAGAGGAAATTCTCAAGCTGCACGAGAACTTATCATTGCTAAACTAATCATATGGGATGAAGTGAGCATGACTGTTGGACATGCTTTAACAGCAGTTGATAAACTTTTAAGAGATTTAATGAAGAATCCTCGACCATTTGGAGAAAAAGTAATTTTATTTGCAGGAGATTTTAGACAAAATCTTCCCGTAGTGCCACATGCACAGAAAGCAGCCATAATTGAGTCAACTGTAAAATACAGTTCTATATGGAGGAATGTAACTCAGGTTAAACTAAAGCAAAATATGAGGACTGGGGAAGAAAAAGAATTTGCAAATTGGCTAATGCAACTCGGAGATGGTAAATTATCAAATACGGATGGACTACATCTCGATACAATTGAAATTCCCCAGAATTTTATATCAAAAGAATCTCTTATTGCTGAAATTTTTGGTGATAGAATCACCATGGAACAGATTAAAGAAAATCCAGATCGAACGATTCTTTGTCCTAAGAATGAGGATACATTCAAAATTATAGACGAAATTCTTTGTCTAATGGAAGGAGAAGAAAAAGAGTATCTCTCAATTGACTCTATTCTCTATTGTAAGTGATGATCCACAAGAGCAATTGAATTTTCCAACTGAGTTTTTAAACTCTCTGACACCTTCTGGAATGCCAGTTCATCGACTTAAAATAAAAGTCAGTGCTACAATAATCCTATTAAGAAATTTAAATACTAAAAAAGGACTCTGTAATGGCACAAGATTTATTGTTACTAATTTGAAAAATAATCTAATTTATGCAGAGGTTTTAACTGGTCCTGCCCGAGGACAGATTGTTTTTATTTCAAGGATAGATTTAATTACAAGTGATTTGGAACTGCCATTTAAGTTTAAACGAAGACAGTTTCCTATTCGAGTGTCATTTGCTATGACAATCAATAAATCACAAGGACGAAGTTTAGAAAAAGTTGGGATTTATTTGCCACATCCTTGTATTTGCTCATGGTCAACTTTATGTGGCATTTTCTAGAGCAACCAAAAAGGAAAGTATAAAAATTAAGATTGATGAATTAAGCAATCAAGGACATCTAATAGAAGGAAGTAAAAAATGTTTTACAAAAAATCTATACTATTATATAAAATTCTTACGGGTGGTGTATGTTTGAACGTTAATAACTTGAAAACTATTGGACCGAATTTTTACCACAAGTACATGAAATAGGGCTAGAATTTTCCGGGGAGTGCTATAGAGTGTGTAGTTTTTCATTACCAATTTTCTGGAAATCGATTTTTTTAATTTTTCTAATTCTTACGGGTAAAAGAATTTAAAAAATCGGTTTTCAGAAAATAGATAACGAAAAACTATACACTCTATAGCACTCCCCGAAAAATTCTACCCCTATTTTATATGGTTTTAATACAAATTCGGTTCAATAGTTCTTAAGTTAAAAACGTTTAAACATACACCACCCGTAAGAATTAGAAAAATAAAAATAAAACGTTATTAACTTAATAACTATTGGACCGAATTTATATTAGAACCATATAAAATAGAGGTAGAATTTTCCGGAGAGTGCTGTAGAGTGTATAGTTTTTTGTTATCTATTTTCTGGAAACTCATTTTTTTAATTTTTTTAATTCTTACAAGTGGTGTATGTTTAAACGTTTTTAACTTAAAAATTATTAGACCGAATTTGTATTAGAAATTAGAACCATGTAAAATAGGGGTAGAATTTTCAGGGGAGTGCTATAGAGTATATAGTTTTTCGTTACCGATCTTCTGGAAACCGGTTTTTCTAATTTTTTTAATTCTTACGCGAAATAATTGATCGAATCTCGGAGAGGGAGAGGGAGAGGGGGAGGGAGGGAGAGAGAGAGAGAGAGAGAGAGAGAGAGAGAGAG